AGTCGTGCTGCACAATATTTTTGTGGAAACCGTGATACATTTTATTTTTCAGGATTCACAGATGAATAGAAAGTTCCAAAGAACAGCATTTATTTGAGATAGAAATCTTTTGTTACATTATGTCTTTACTGACACTTTTGATCCATTTAATGCGTATTTACTGAATAATATAAATGTTTAATCTTACTTAACCCGACCTTTTGAGTTTTAGTGTCAAAAATAGTGTATTTCCACAAAATATTGTGCAGCACAACTGTTTTCAACATTGATAATAATCAGAAATGTTTCTTGAGCAGCAGATCAGCATATTATACTGATTTCTGAAGATCATGTGACACTGAAGACTGGAGGAATGATGCTGAAAATACAGCTGCGCATCACAGAAATAAATTACAGTTTAACAGATATTCACATAGAAAACAGCTATTTTAAATATTTTTTAATATTTCACATTTTTCCTGTATTTTTGATCAAATAAATGCAGTCTGCTGAGCAGACTCTTTCAGAAACATTAAAATTTGTAATTATTTTCCAGGTCGCAAGGAACAACGTCAGCAGTCTGAAACAGGAAGTAGAAACGCACGTACAGGAAGCTCAAGACCTGCTGACCGATGCCCTCAATATCGCTGAAGACATTGGCAATGGCACGGCTGTAAGTGATGTTTCTACATCGTTAAACTCTGTTTAGACCTAAATAACACAGTGTCTGTAATTAACACTGCAAAAAAAGGCTTGTCTTACTTAGTATTTGTGTCTTGTTTCTAGTCAAAATATCTCAAATTAGGATGCATTTACTAGATAAGCAAAATGACAATTTAGTTTTTTCCCCTGGAAACAAGACTAAATATCTTATGTCATTTTGCTTATCTAGTAACTAGAAACAAGACACAAATACTAAGTAAGATAAGCCTGTTTTTGCCATGTTAAGATGCATTTGTTTGTGTGTGGCTCCAGACTCTGGATGAGACGAGACACACAGCACACACACCTGAGATCATTCATACAGAGGATCATCTCATTCCTGTCTGTGTTTCAGGGCTGGTGTTTAGCGTCCGTGAAGTGACCAGCAGGTTGAGTCTGGCTAGAGCGAGCGTTCAGAACGTCACACAGCTGCTCCCAGAAGCCCTGCACATCCTGAAAAACCTTCCTAATGGTGCGGTAACCCTTTTTCATTTTCTGGATAATTTTGGCTGTTAATGCAAACAGCATACATTTAGCCTTTTTTATATATACATATATTTCACACTCATTTGCTTTCATAAATTTATTTTACACTAGGCACAAAAAAAAAACACACAAGACTCCGTACCAAAAATGTTTCCATTGAAACACATTAAAAATATATTTAATCGCAGTGCCATTTAGGCATTCAATCATGCATTCTTTGTTAATATGCTTTCATTCTGATGGCAGTGCTTAGAAATTATTGCTATTTTTAAATGAAAAAAAAAAATTTCTAAAAAAGTTTTACTGTTTTTATTATTATTAGTAGTAATACTTTTTTATTTTTATCATGTTGGCACCATTTTTATTTATTTTTTTTAAATCGGACACTGCACAAAAAATAATGATGCATCATAATTTATGTTGTTTCTACTCGTTGACATATGCAAGACTGTAATAATCCAAAATAATCTGTTTATCGTTTAATATATGGAGAATATATATATATATATATTCTCCATATATTAAATAAGCAGATTTTTTGGATTACTACAGTCTTTTTTTTTTTTTGGTGTTTATTATCAGGGCTGATGTTGGTAAAAAAGAAAAACAAAACTATTATTGAAAGCAGAAAAGCATTTTTTTTATATATATAACATATATTTTATGTTTTGACACAAATTTCACGATTCGATAAAATTTTCATTCACAAGCTTGTGATTCGATTACCGATTCGATTAAATATGGATTATTCTGTATACATATCAGGTACAGTACATGCCAAATTTTCTCAAGGAAAAAAAATCTAATGCTGAAAAATATACACGAGAGTCAGTTGGTCCTACATTACTATAATATTGAAGGTTAAAACTGACTGATTTGTTAAAATTACACTTAACGGAGTTTTTAATATAATAAAGTTACAATTACATAATAATATTTCTACTTCAATTTTCAAAACCGAAACCAAGCCGTTCACACAGAACACATATTTATCACATTTTCTAGAGGGACGTCTATCAGCGTTGCACTCGCGTCTCGCACAAGAGAGATGCATGTTTAGAAAGCTATGTAAAATTAATGCAAGTTCAACTTTGAAAAAACACGTCTCGAGACTTCATGGCGGGGGTTTTCCCATCCCACTGCATCTCATGTTTTTAAATGAAGAAAGCACTCTCTGTGATTTGTTTTCGGTCCTTTGTATGAAACTATAATTGTTTCTAATCGTTTAAGCAACTTTATTAATTATATACGGTTTATAAACATTATTTTAAACATTATGCACTTTTTTCAAAGATAGTCGTGTTATTTTATTATGCTTTGAAGAAATGAACACTAGGGCTGTCAAAATGGATGAAAAACTAAATTCAAAGTTTTACTTAAATATTATCAATATTCGAATTTTATTCGAATTTAAAGGCATAATTTCAGTTAGGGGAGGAAAAAAGATTTTGACTTATCTCCTGAGGCCACAAGAGGGCGCATCGAGCAAAATATTACTAATGCACATTGCTTGGTTTCGGTTTTGACGTAAACAAGATCATCTCTGCATTGATTGTTCTCTTTTTCTGCAATATTTTGAATGAAAAACACAGCAGCGCTGCATCTAGTGGCTTCAACTGGATAGGCTTACAAAAGCATTAAAATGCAACGACACTTAAATCGTCATCGCATCTCGTGCGCCGCTGATAAGGCAGCCTGACGCACACCTAAATGTTTTTACATTCGAATGTGGATTTTTATTTTAAATTCGACGAAAAATTGGAAATTCAAATATTGTTTTTGACAGCCCTAATGGTCATTAGTAATATTTTGCTCGATGCGCCCTCTTGTGGCCTCGGGAGAGAAGCCAAAATCTTTTTTCCTCCCCTAACTGGATATATATATCGAATATAATTCGAATATTGATAATATTTAAGTAAAAAATTCGAATTGAGTTTTTCAGCCATTTTGACAGCCCTATTGTGCTCGGACCTCTGCAGATTAAAGTGGCTGTTTCTGCGGATAAGGATTGCGTGCGAGCGTACAGACCAGAGGTGAGCTCCAGTAACTTCAACACACTCACGCTGACCATGAAGACCAGCGACCCGGACAGCCTGCTCTTCTACATGGGCAGCAGTGCCAGCGTGAGTCAGATCACATGACCTGAGATGCACACTGTCTTATTTTAGAATTATTCATATACTATTATAGCTTTTATTAATATTTCTAAAGAGCTTACATTTTCAGGTTTCATGTTGGTTTTAATTTAAGATTTAGTAAGTTTATGTGCTTTTGTCATTTGTATTAATTTTTCTTAATTTTTTTATATCAATATTCAACCCTCTACATTGAGAGTAAATCACGACTCGCCGTCGCTTTGTCTCACACACACGCAGCGAGAGAGAATTGATGCGCTACATGTAAACGATATTCTTTGTTGTATTTTGCTGTAAAAATAACAGTTCCTTCGGAATTCTTCAGCTTTTAAGAACTGCCGCTTTCTCCGGAAGTGGGCGGAGCTAATGTGCAAACGGCAATCTCATTGGCTGGTGCTCACCTAGTATCGTCCCTGTTTTGATTTCAGCGAATCAGTTCGAGTGAACGCACACAACCTGATTAATATTCATGAATCCAGCAGCTCATTAATCCTTAGTGCGTTTTATATTGTTCTTATTAGTAGAATTCGTATCATTAAATTTTTCCCATTTTTTTTATTTAAACATTTAATAATTTCAGTGATTCATCTTAAACTTTAGTATTATTTAATGAAACTTTAGTAAATAACTTTTAGTTCAGTTGTAGTTTTTATTTATTTCCTGTTATTAATTTTAGTGATACATGTTTATAAAAATAAAAACTATAATAATACTATATAACAATATATTAAAATACTATTATAATTTTTATTAATAATTTGAAGTACTTTCTTGCCATTTTAGATTTAGTTTTGGTTCTATTTAGTTTATTTTTTATTTATTTCCAGTTAATAATTTTACTTATTAATCTTTAACCTTAGTTTTATTTATATACTATTATAGTTTTTAATAATATTTCAAATTTGCTTTTATGTTTATATTTTTATGTTTCATTTAAAAAATTTTTTTAAATAAAGTCATTTTTATTACTTGTTTTTTTTAATATTTCTATATAGTTTTTATCAAATGTTTTGCTATTTCCACTTTCAGTGATTCATTTTGAAGTATTATTTATATATTGTTATATAGAATTATTATAGTTTTTATTAATATTTTTAATTAGCTTTTATTTTTATATTTTCAGTTTTCACTTTAATTTTAGTTTAGGTTTTAGTATTTTTTTTTTTGTAGCTTTTGTCATTTTTATTAGTTTTTTGTAATCTACATTTTTGTAATTTGTTTAATTTATTTTAATTTTAATTTAAGCTTTAGTTTTTATTTATTTCCAGTTAATAATTTTACAGATTCAACTTATTTCATTTGGTTTCAGTCATTGGAACTGAGAGAGAAAAAAAAAAATGTTATGCATGCAGCGTGATTGTATGTGTATTTCAATGTGTTTATATCCACATCAGGAGGATTTTATGGCTCTGGAGATGCATCATGGGAAGGTGTCCTTCCTGTGGGACTCTGGCTCTGGACTCACCAGACTGGAGTATCCTGACGTTCAGATCAACAACGACCGGTGGCACAGGATCAACGCGACGCGGTTCGTGACTCTCAGTGCTGATGGGACGTTTCGGTTCTTCTCTTTGAATGACCGACTCTGACGTCCGGTTCTCCTGTGATTGTGCCGCAGGTTCGGGAGACACGGGACCCTCACCATCCAGCAGACGGACTCCGAGCCGCTGCCTGCAGTGAAGACCACAGCGTCTGGGTCCTCCACCGTGATGGACGTCAGCAGATCCACCTGGGTGTTCGTCGGGGGCCTCGGTGCTCAGGTGAAGGTGAGGTGAAGATCCGGCTGCTGTTCCTCTGTATTTGGCCCTGTTTACATCTGTTGTGTTTTTCCCAGAAACCCCCAGCGGTGAGAATGACACACTTCAGAGGCTGCATGAGCGAAGCGTCGCTCAACGAGAACAACATCGGCTTGTGGAACTACGCTGAGAGACAGGGAGAGTGCGGCGGCTGCTTCATGAGGTAAAACACACCGTTCACCCACCCTAGCAACCATCCAGTGCAGCCTAGCAACCGTATAGAGACATAAAGATACAATAGCAACTGCCTAGAAACACCCTAGCAACCATCCAGTTCAACCTAGCAACCATATAGAGACCATAGCAACTACCTCGCAATGCCCTAGCAACCATCTGTGTTGCCTTGCAGACACTGAAAACACTCTAGAAACTGCCTAGCGACACCCTAGCAACCATCCAGTTCAGCCTAGCAACCGTATAGAAACATAAAGATACCATAACAACTACCTAGCAAAACACCTATGTTGCCTTGCAGATACTGAAAACTCTCTAGAAGCTGCCTAGCGACACCCTAGCAACCACTCAAAACAACCTACCAACCACATAGCAATGCCCTAGCAACCATCTAAGACAACTAGCACCTGCAGCAACCACTGAAAACACCATAGCAACTTCCTAGTGACACCAAAGCAACAACCCAAACCACTCTAACAGCTATATAGCAACGTTCTAGTAACTATGACACCTCGGAGCTGTCTAGAAACTACTCAAAACACTCTAGCAATATCCTAGCAACACCCTAGAAAATACATAGCAATGCCCTAGCAACTGCCTAGTAATCACCCAAAACACCCTAGCAACCACTGAAAACACCATAACAACTGCCTGGGAACCACAAAACAACACTCTAACAACTGCCTAGTGACAAACTAGCAACCCACAGAACACCCTAGCAACTGTTTATGACACCTAGCAACTGCCTAATAACCGCCCAGAACACCCTTGCAACCATCTGTGATATCTAGCAACCACAGAAAACACCATGGAACTGCCTAGGTCCCACAACACCCTAGCAACCACCCAACGCACCCTACCAACCACTTAGCAATGCCCTAGCAACCATCTGTGACACCTAGAAAACACTGAAAACACCTTAACAACTGCCTAGGTCCCACAACACCCTAGCAATCATTAGCAATGCCCTAGCAACCGTCTATGACACCTAACAACCATTGAAAATGCCATAACAACTGCCTAAGTCCCGCAACACCCTAGCAACCACTCAGCAATGCCCTATCAACCATCTGTAATAACTAGCAACCACTGAAAACACCATAACAACTGCTTAGGTCCCACCTCAGCTTAGCAATACCCTAGCAACCACCCAACGCACCCTAACAACCACTTAGCCATTCCCTAGCAACCATCTGTGACACCTAGAAACCACTGAAAACATCATAACAATGGCCTAGGTCCCACAACACTCTAGCAGCCACCCAACGCACCCTAGCAACCACTTAGCAATGCCCTAGCAACCATCTATGACACCTAGCAACCACTGAAAATCCCATAACAACTGCCTAGGTCCCGCAGCTGCCTATCAACACCCTAGCAACCATCTATGACACCTAGCAACCACTTGAAAACACCCTAGCAACCACCTGCACTCCAGCCCTGTTTCCAGCTAGTGTTCAGATGTGTTTTTGATGAGCGGTAAATACAGGTGGAAACAGTCACTGACGCTCTTCCTGTCCTGTGTGTTTCTCGTCCATCAGTCCGCGCACTGAAGACACGTCGTTCCACTTCGACGGCAGCGGTTTCTCTGTGGTGGAGAAGTCCCTGCGCTCCATGTCCACCAGCGTGGTCATGTTCTTCAAGACTCTGTCTCCGAACGGCCTGCTGCTGTATCTAGCCTCCAACGGCACGGTACGTTCACTTCTCACCTCCTCACACTCCTCTCAAGCATCTCACTCATTTACATTACATTTACATTTAGTCATTTAGCAGACGCTTTTATACAAAGCAGCTTACAAATGAGGACAGTAGAAGCAATCAAAATAAGTGCTATAACAAGTCTCAGTTAGCCCAATTATATTAGTAATTATATAATAAATAACAGAAAACAAATAAATAGAATAGAAAGCTAGTATTAGAGGCTTTTTTTAATGAAATAAAGCAGTCTCTTCTTATCCACGTTTGTAGAGAGACTTCCTGTCCATCGAGCTGGTGGAAGGGAAGGTTCACTTGACCTTTGAACTGGGCTCTGGAGCGCTGACCTTGACCTCCAGCAGAACATTCAACACCGGCACCTGGTACAGAATCGCCCTGCAGAGGAACAAGCGCCGAGGTGATGCTCTGCTCTCGCATCCATTACATCAGGTAGGTTTCTTGTGTGTGTGTGTGTGTGTGTGAGAGTGAGTGAGTGTGTGTGTGCGTGTGAGTGTGAGTGTGTGTGTGCGCGTGTGAGAGTGTGAGTGTGAGTGTGAGTGTGTGCGTGTGAGAGTGTGAGTGTGAGTGTGAGTGTGAGTGTGAGTGTGAGTGAGTGTGTGCGTGTGCGTGTGCGCGTGCGTGCGTGCGTGCGAGCGAGCGAGTGAGTGTGAGTGCGTGTGAGTGCGTGTGAGTGCGTGTGTGAGTGTGAGTGTGAGTGTGTGTGTGTGCGCGAGTGTGTGTGTGTGCGCGTGAGAGTGTGTGAGTGTGCGCGTGAGTGTGTGTGAGAGTGAGTGCGTGTGAGAGTGCGAGTGTGAGTGTGAGTGAGAGTGTGAGTGAGAGTGTGAGTGAGAGTGTGAGTGAGAGTGTGAGTGAGAGTGTGAGTGAGAGTGTGAGTGAGAGTGTGAGTGAGAGTGTGAGTGAGAGTGTGAGTGAGAGTGTGAGTGAGAGTGTGAGTGAGAGTGTGAGTGAGAGTGTGAGTGAGAGTGTGAGTGAGAGTGTGAGTGAGAGTGTGAGTGAGAGTGTGAGTGAGAGTGTGAGTGAGAGTGTGAGTGAGAGTGTGAGTGAGAGTGTGTGTGAGAGTGAGTGTGAGTGAGTGTGCGCGTGAGTGTGCGAGTGTGCGCGTGAGTGTGCGCGTGAGTGTGTGTGTGTGAGAGTGTGTGTGAGAGTGTG